TCTCAAAGCGACTTGTAGAGTTTGGTTTCGTTCGCCGTCCCCTCTCTTTTCTTTCCAATTGGCTACTGAGTACAAGGTAGCACCTGTTGGCATCGGTGGCTAGATTACTACTTTGTGGCCTACAAGAGTCTGATCCGGTCTTGAAACCTTCCGTAAGTCGGCGTATATTCCATTTAATTTTCGAGCACTACCTTTTTCGGCCAGCTTTTCAATCTCTACGTACTCACGCATCTCGGTCTCTTTCTTTTTTCGTCTACAGATGCGTCTTGCTTCCCTCTTCAGCTCTCGGTATCTATCCCACTCCACACGTGTTGTGGTAGATCACAAGGTTGCGACGTTGGCAGTGTGTTTTCTCTTCACTGCGGCACCACAGTCCTCATCATATCAGCTGTTTTTGCGACCTTTTCGAATAGTTTGTTGTAAGGAGCTTGAAATGCCGTCCCACAGTTCCCGTATACCGAGTTGCTGATGAGTGCTCCCAGAGAGGGGGAGTGTAAGTTGAGTAGAAAATCGTTCGGCGGTCTGTTGTGATTGCAGCTTTTCACCGTCGAACTTTCCTTGTGTGCGCATGCGTCTCTTTGCTGCAACAAGATGATGGCCCGAGTCCATGTTAGATTTTCGTAGTGTACGCACGCCAAGAACACAGGAGACATGTTTTCGGTCTATCACAACATAACCGATCTGGTTTTGTGTTTTGCGATCAGGGGACAGCCAAGTAGCTTGGTGAATTTTCTTGTGCTGGAATCCAGTGCTACAGGCAACCATATTTCGGGCTCCGGCGAATTCGATCAGCTTCAGGCGATTTGGGTATGTCTTGTTGTGAAGGCTGAATTGCCCAACAGTTGTAACAAAGTTATCTTCTTTGCCCATCCTGGCATCAAAATCGCCAAGCACGATTTTTGTCGTGCCGGGGACAGAGCTCGTAAGTATGCTATAGGCGCTCATAAAAGACATCTTTGGCCAAAACGTCCTTCTCTTCCATAGGACGTGAGCGCAAATCAACGAGGTGTTGAAAAATTTTCGTTTAGAAGCGGATTGGGGTGAGACGCTCATCCACTAGGGTGAATGCTATTACTCGACGACAGAATCTCTCTCCCACCACGAATCCGACACCAAATTTGCGCTCCTTTTTGTGTTCGCTGTAGTAAATTTCACAAGAACTTACTCGCTTTCGATCTTGCCCCGTCCAACGCACTTCTTGGATGGCGGTGATGTGAGCCTTTATTCTTACGAGGACCTCAACCAGCTGGGCAACGGCACCTTCCCAATTAAGGGAACGGACATTTCAGGTGCATACCCTCAAATCGTGATTTTAAATCATTTGCGTGGGTTGTCAACACAAAGGGGGTATCTCATCCGAGGCGTTGTTTTATTTTTCATTGAAGCTGGTTTATACGTGCCGTGACCTAAGGCTCCACCTTGGGTTGGTTACCGCATCTGGCACAAGAGTTGCTCACGTTTACAGGGTTGGCGACGTGGACGCATGAGTATGAATTGAGTATAGCCTCGCAACTGTAACAGCATATCTAGAAGCTCGTCTACACCCCCTAACTACAAACCATTTTACTTTATCTTTTTTTCCATTTAGCAAATTTAAGTAGATTCAAATTTTATTCTCAAAACCTGTGTACCCGTTAAACAACCTTGAGATACATTAGTAAAAATAGATTACATTTTCTTGATTTTATGGGCGTATTTTCCAATTAAATACATCAGCGAATAGAAAATGCAACATTTCAAATATAAATATACGTACATACACACATTCGCACGGTACATACGAGTACACACTCAATGGCAAATGGCAGTGTTTACATCAGTGAAATCAGCAATCATAGCAATAACATCAATCGCAGCAATCACTAGCTATCGAGCTATAATAACATTTGGCGTTGAGCTATAAATCTATTTGTTTGATTCGCGCCAACGATTCATCAGCGAGTAATACAATTTGCAGTGCACACCACCACCCAGCACCCAGCACCCATCAGCCAACAGCCATCAGCCATCAGCCATCAAACATCATCCATCACCCATCGCCGTCCACCACCTGCCGTGCAGTGCAGGCACTCAAGTACAAGCATTTCGTGAACATACAAACAACAAATATATATATATATATACACTTGTGTGCGTACATATGTTTTGTATATTGTATATTATATGTATATGTGTGTTTGTGCATTTAGCTGAGTTTTCAGCCTTCACAGACACAGTCGTCATGACCATGGCCGTGCCAGTAGTAACAGCAGCGCTAAACGTATGCATTGCCCCACTAGCACCGCCTACACACTCGATTTTTATTGCTAATGTCTTCATTGCCACCGCAGTTCGCTGCCTGCCTCAGCTCAGTTGGTATTGCTTGCATTTGTGGCACCTTGTGGCACGTTGCAGTCAATTTATGGCGCAGTGTTGTGTGGCAAGGAACGTCTGCTGCGATTGTTTGCATGGGAGCAACAACAACGTTTGACTGGGCCTTTGAGACCAATACCGTTAAGAACAAAATGTTCAAAGTGAATTATTGCCTTTGCAGACGTCTTTTCAATAACAAAGGCATTTTATTATTTGAGGTGTCTGTGTGTGTGTGTGTGTGTGTGTGTTTTCTTCTTCTTTGAACGTATGTATATACATTTGTAACGTTTAGGAACTGTGATTTGGAAACTCTTATCGGTTCATTTTCATTTTCTTCACAATGTAATCAGCCGGTGCGGCAAGGTCACCAAGTGTGGAAATGTATAGGGTTTTACAGTTCGTGGTTTTGAAAGTGCAGCACTGCATTTTGTCATCTGTCAAAATTAACTGTTATGAAATTGCATCACTGAACAACCGCAGCAAAAATGGCGATTCAATAGAGAGGCAGTGGTAAGAGGAGACTGGATACGCACGTAATCTGTCTGGATACAGCAGCAGTTTAAACTTCTACCGATGCAGACTCGGTCACAACATACTCAACGTATGCCCTGCTTGTGGAGAGTCTCCGCACGACACTAACCAGCTTTTTACATGCCCCCTTAAGCCGACACATCTAACCACGCTCTCCTTCCAGTAAGAGAACGTTTTCTGGACCTAACGTTAAATGACCTCGATGATTTAGATTGGTTAAGCTGTCCCTAAGCAAGGTTAACGTAGCCGCTACAAAAACAACAACAAGCCACATATTCGTCCAACTCCTAAAGCAGTCAGTAAAATTTCAAATAAATTTGAAGAGACTGGAAAGGTCACAGATATTGCAAGAACTGGTAAATTTCCTTTCCCTTTTTCCACCTCAAAAAAAAAAGGAGGGGAAGGCGATTTTTAGAACAAAATGTTCTTCAGCAACGAGGCGCATTTTTTACTCGGAGGATAGGTAATTAGGCGAAATTGTCTTATTTATGGCTCCGAGAATACTCACATAATTGAAGAGAAGACATTACATTAAAAAAAAGAAAGAAAAAATTTACTGTCTGGTGCGCTTTTCAGTTCGGAGGGTTGCTCGGACAGTAGTAGACAGCTTTTGGCCAGTAATTGTAGAACACGTCTGGGACAATATGTGGTTCCCACAAGATGGTTCCAAACGGGTTTTTGTGCAATCTTTAATTTTGGGGCAATCAAAAAAGTGCTCGTATGACAGTCGGACTCGACAAACTCCACTTTGTGAGAGACCGAAATTCTAATGTAACAGTATCAGAGAGGGACCAGGAATCAGATTTGTGGCTGTCACCTAGGTTTTAGTACTTTTATTTTTTTGTTGTCCTAATATTTTGTGCCACGAGTTGGCCAAGAAGAACTGGTTATTCGTCCGCCGAGTATCCGGGTGGGTCATTCAGCCTTCAGCCGGGTACCTTAACACATTGACTTTGGGTATCTTTGCAGTTACTTCAATCAGGAGTAGTTTGATTGGCCCTTTAATCCATAGTCCTACTCTAAGAACTTTTCTTTGAAAGATAGAAGCCTGGGGTATGTGGTTTTATGGTAATACATTCACTAGCTTATCAAGCTGCGCCTAAAGGTTTTTGCTGAAAACTCACTTAACGGCGACAATCTTACAATCTGATCTCGCCGCAATGATTACCACCACAATGCGCATCCGTGGTGGTTTTGTAACTTTTCGAGTGCGGCCGTTGGAGCGGTCCTTAACGAGCTGCTGTATCCGCTTCCAGTGTTTCCTAGTAAGAGATTTTGCGGGCCGCGTATACACCACACAAAAGCACTATAGAGTGAGCTTCAGTTGACTACTGAGTATGAGACCAGACGATGTAGATGCTAGGTTCATCTTCCTACACTGATAAAGGGTACTACTGAGACCATTTATGCTCTTCAGCATATTTAGTTTTGATATCAATTTGCTGTCTAAAATTACTCTGAGGTACTTGGTTGGTTAATGGAACCTCAGATGGCGGAATGCAGGGATCGTTTGCCTTCATTCAAAAAGCTCCAATCCCATTTTATCGAAATTTTATATCCACGTGGGCTAATGTCGCCCATCGCTGTAAGACTCTTAGAGAATGCTCCATCATGGTTTTCTAAGTGTCCAGAGATTTGTGCGCCTCTATCAAAGCTTAAGTGTCTCTCTTTAAAATATTAGCAGAAGCACATTGGCTTCAAGTGACAAGTGGAGTGGGACAATATAAGCCTCTGAGGAGTTCCTATCCAAGCTATCCTAAGCGACTCAGGACTTTTTATCCATAATAGGATGTGAGGTTCTACCAAGACTGCTTTCAGGCTATTCACTACTGCACTTAGACGTATTCCTTAAGTGATTGTAGTGAAGTCTCGGTTCCTTCGCGTGTGCCTCCCACCAAAGCACAGATACATAGCTAAAACTTAAACATCCTTCACATATTACCATCAGGTATATTACCAATTCTCGAGGGGTTATCATTGAGTACTGTTATTCGGAGTTGCCGTGTTTAAATCCTGGTACGACCAAGATCTAAAAGTTATAGAAAATCATCTCAATAAAAAATAATTTTGCTAAATTTTCCAATTGCGGTAGGCAGGGTTTGGCAGGGAATGTCACCGCTCCAAGTGTGTTCCTGACATGAAAATTTAAATCTCCTTATAAAAAAACCATCAGCCGTTCGGAGGCGGCTTAGTATAAACGGTAGGTCTCTCCATTTGTTGGGAAAACATCAAGACGCAAGACCACGAATTGGAGGACGAGCTCGGGCAATAAATCATTTCAGTGGTTACAAAGCGCCAATTATATAATAAAGATATATGGTATTAGTAATCTCGAGGCTTACTGTATCATAGCTGGATAGAAGAGAGGAATTTATTTTTTAACAAATATTTTTGCCCTTAAGCTCCAAAGGATGCAAAATTCCAGAGAGACGAAGGAAAAAATTAAATCATTTTAGATTAAATTCTTTGTGAAAACCCCGATTCAAGAGATAAAGGATTTTGAATAACATCGAAAAAAGTTGAATCATTTTAATTACAATATCCATCATGCACGTGTACTTCAATATCTATTATTATTGCTGCAGCCTCTCCCACTCCTGCTGCCGTTCTTTCACACCAAACCAATATGCTTATATATATTTATTTTCCTTCTTTCTTGACTGACATTTGGTCTCGTGCACTTGAGAATGGCCGATAAACCGACAATAAGCAAAGGAGCATGTCTCCACTCACCACCCAAACATTCTCTCATTGGCCAGCATTGCCACTTACCCATTGAACTCAATCACCAAAAGCGGTAAAATGCTACACTGACGACCTACGCACGAAGCTGTACGCCTGGGCACTTACGCTCCGCCATGGTTTGCTCTTTCATTTAAAAGTGTTGCCCTAAGAGCGTGGTTATGGTTAAGTTAAGTGTTTGTAGCCTGAGGGAGGTAAACAGTTCAATGGGAGCGGAGCGGTGCACCTATATTATTGTGCATAAATGAGATGAGAGCGAATCAATTTTATGTGAGAGTCAGCGACAGGCGTAGAATTATAGCTGAATGTTCAAACGAATAGAAAATAGGAGCTCAAATAAATGACAAAAATAAGCAGGAAAAGTGCAAGCAAAAGGATGTGCTCCAAAGAGGAATCAATAGCAAAAATGTGGCGCGTAGCTAAAACTGTCACAATTTGACAATTTTCTGCTGGAGAGCATAAGGAGTGGCAGAGAATCCTGCTCTCAACCACTGACTTTGGACTCTCACAAATTTGAAAATAACTGACACTCTCACTACTCGGTGGCAACAACAGTTTGGCTACTTTAGCGAACACAACCAATGTGGCTTCGTCGTTGCTGCTACAACACGAGTGAACAATGAAGTGTGCGAAACAAAGCAGCCGCAGCAGCAAACAGCGCCAATGCCGCCAGCAACGGAAGTCAATTCAAGTGTGTGGAGTACAAATAGCAGAGGATAAAGCAGTAAAATAGTTAGAGTTGTATTTTGGAAAAGAAGCAGCAGGAATATGAGCGCTGACATTGCGCTCTCTGTCGGCCTTTCTTTTTGTTGTCTGAACTGCGGTCTCTCGCCGCTCGATTGTATGGCTGCTTATGGCTCGATTTTAGTTTGGTTTGACGGTCTGCTGGTTGGTTCGCTGGCTTATTGCCTCACAGACAGACGGCTGACAGACTGGTTATGCGAAGCGAACTGAAGTTGGTCGCATTTATTTGTTGTTTGTTGCCCCGAAACGAATGTAGCGCACTGACGCTAAGTGCTGTGCTGAGCGTTGGGCCGAGCTGAGTTGAGTTGAAATGGAATTGTGTGCACGGCGTAAGCGTTTGCCGTAAAATCGGACGAATGTGATGTCTGTAGAAATACTGTCACTGATGTGCCAATGCTAGCCGATTTAAAATTTTACACCGCTCGAGCTCGTCACGTACACGTGTTTTCAGCGCTGTGTGTGTATGTGTGTCGGTATGTGAGTAAGTCAAGCTGCTGGCGCCGTAAAGATTTGAAAATCTAATGTAATGTGATTGATGGAAATGAAAAAGTGGAGTTTAATATTTGAAACGGAATTGACAAATTGTGCCGTGAACTTCCGAGAGGCGCGTAGAAATGAAAAAAAAAATCTAAAAAAACACCATGAAACCTGAAAATTACGGCAAAAATTCATTTGAAAGTTGAAAAAAAGGTCTTAATATTTACTGTGTAAAAGTAAATTAAAATAACTATGCTCGAGCACCTAAAAGTATGCAACTCCTAGAGTCATGATGCAACAAATCTAGTGAAAATCTTTGCTGGGCCATACATGAAAAGGAAAAAAATGCATGTGAAAATCGCAGCAGCCCAGAAAATGCAAAAATTTACAATCAAACCACTCCAAATGCAATACAACAACATGTGACAACGCCTAAAAGCATGCAACGAAAAAGAGAATTTCGAAAAATAAATTTAACCTTGTGTCAGTTGCCATGCAAGTGAAGAAATACCACATATTATACGTGAGTGTGTGTGTGTGTGAGTGCAAATTAATGGCATCAAACCAAAAACAAAAAGTTATTTATAAAAAATTAAACATATTTTTTCCATTAACTATTACGCTAAATAAACTTAAAAAAAAACCTCAAATGCTTAGTGCTTAGTAATAGCTTAGTGAACTGGATGCTAGCGCGGCATCTTGACATTTTTTTTTTTTTTTGACAATTACGTCGCATTACAGCAACTGTTGCTTAATTCAGAAATAAACGAAAAGAAATAAATATCGGAGCGTGGTGAATAAAAGGCAAGAATTAAAAATTTATTGTGCGCACTCAGCTCTTTTTAGTCTGCAAATGAGGCAAAAGCTGTGATATCAAGTGGCTTATATAAATACGAATATTCAAAAAGTTAAATTTACGCACATCAAAGCAATAACGGTTAAGTACGAAAATATTTAAAAAATTTAAATAGAAAAAGATTAACAATTTTTATTTTCGAACACCATGTGAGCGCAAAAAGTAACAAAAAATGGCTTACCATACATGCTTACGTAATTATGCCTAGAAATATACACTCAAAAATTAAAAAAATAATAAGAATATAATGCAACTGTAATATAATCAAAAATATATTGGAGGCACAGAGAAAACATCGAAAAGACTTAAGTACGATGTCAGCTTATTGCCAGACAGTCTTCGAAAGCTATTGTAGTTGTTAAAGTTCAAATTGTGTGACATTTCTGCGATTAGCGTCAAGAATATGAATTAATTAGCATAAAAAACAGTATAAGACAAATATTGTGTGCTTAATATTCCAACCTGTAGCTTTATTTTAAACTCACCACACCGTGGTGAGTTTCACATTTTGGTGCCAAAAGTGTTAAATTACGTTTCATAGTATTTCCAATATCAAAAAGGCATCAGCAACTGGTTGTGTGCGCAAAAATATTCACCACGATAAGGTGAAAAATATATTTTGCAAGAAAATAGTGCATAAGATCCTTCCTCTGATTTTGGCATGGCATAAAAATAACTTACAATTTGGTGTGCGCCTATGGTGAAAGCTGTTAAAAATATTTAGCAAACATTTTGTTGCCAAGAAATATTTTTCAAAAATAATTCAATTTTTTCTTAACACATTTGATCAATTTGTGTTGAAAAACACACAAAGTTACAATTATACACTCAACACTAGATATTTTTAAATATTAAATACTAGTGAAGTCAATAAGCTGAATTGTCCTCGATATCAAAAAAATAAATACACAAACAAAAGATTCGCTACCTAAAAGAAAACATAAACTAGAAATCGTTAAATTTTGTAATTAACAATACTAAGTCTAACCCGACATTAACAACAGAAGAACAAGCAATGCTCCAATGTCCATTCCACGCTGCTTAAATAATCACAAGTGAAAAATAAATAACTTACAACGAATATTAATACTGAAGAAAAACTGCTCAATAGTAGCAACAAATGTAAAAACAAAAAAATTGGCTTTACAGAGATTTGCTAAATAGTTGATTCAAAAAAACTCACCACACTACAACTTTGAAAAAAACATATGTAAGAAACAGCAAACTACATTTTTAAGTCAGCTCTGATAAATAAATAGTGAATTAAAAAGAATGCAAAAACTCACCACATCATGGTGAGTTTTGTCAAATTAAATTAGCAACAAATCAGAACTTTTTAAAATCAACAGCACCTTTATACAAAACTATTATTCATAACGGTTTCTTGTATATTTGCACATTTCCAAAGCAATCAGCAACAAACATTTATTGAAAACGGCAGAGCGCTGAATTTACTCAACGTGAAATATAAATACGAATCTTATTAACTTAGCTCCACGAAACTGGAAAATATCAATGAAAAATATCAAAAGGCGACTTTAAACGCACAGCACTCTAATAAGAAACCAACAACTCAAAATTCACCACACTCGTTTTTTAACTTGAATCGTACACACACCATCACTAACGCGCCATGGGTTCACATGGCGCAGGCGCGTGCGATTGCTGTGGCGGCGGCGCGGGTGGCAGCTCGTCAACTGTGAGCAATAACGATGCGCCAACACAGCGACCACCGCAACAGCAACAAGAACATAGTAATAATAATAGTCCACAACGACAGCGGCAACAACAACAACAACAGGAACAACAGCTGCCTGCACATATGCTCGGGGCCGCGGCCGCATTACATTTGCGACGTGAACGCGATCCACCACAACTGCCACCGCTACCGATTTTGCCGATTATGCCGCCACGTCCACCGCCCATACAGCAACAACAGCAACAGCAGCAGCAGCGGGCACAACATCATTTGGGCGTGCCCGCTGTGGCGATAATTGCGCCACGCGGCAGCCGACACCAACAAACGCAAGATTTGCAAAATAACAACAACAACAACAACATGCCGGCGGGCGGTGGTGCCGTGACGCAAAGCCAACATGCCAGCATTGCGCACTATATCAATCAGGTGAATTTGCATATGAATCTGAGCAACAACAACAGCACTGGCACCACCGGCGGCACTGGTGCTGTAGTTGGCGGCTTTGGTGGCACAACAACTACCACCAATGCGCTAAGTGTCAGCGGAACTACCGGCGCTGGTCTAGGTCATCCTAACTATACCAACAACAATCACATATATGTAAATCCGCACTCGTATGATATGCAGGCTGCGGCAACGGTGAGCGGCGCCGCGTCTCGCTTGCAGCACAACAACAATAATAACAACAACGCCACCAGCTCCGCCGCTAATCCGGGCAGCAATCTGAATCGTAGCAGCAGTAACAACAACACGCACTCGACAAGCACTTCGCAACGCACCACCGCTACCGGTTCGACAGCCGTCGCCATGCCGGTACAGCCACTACAGAATCCAATAACAAACACGCACACCAATCACACTCAACCGCAGCCGCCGCCACCACAAATCACCACCACCGGCGTTGGGCCGCCCGGCTTCGATTGGCATTTCACAAACGGCAGCAGTACCGCCGCATCGGGCGGCTTCGAATTAACGCGGCAATTCACCTCCTCCACACTGAGCACACTTAATACATATCTATTCCCCTGCGGCGCCGATTCGGCCGGCACCATAGGCGGCGCCACCCTGAACAGCGGCAGTGGCTCTTGTGATCTTGATAGCAATTTTAGTCAAATGGTTGCGGGTAGCGACGGTGGCGCCAGCTCTACCTTCAGTTCTGGTCTGGGTTTTATCAATAAGCGACGCATAAGACGACTTTTCGGCGTTAGCACGCCCGATCATCGCTGCACTGGTCCACACGCCGCTGCGGTGCGACGACGCAGTTCGCCATTAGTGCACTTTCAAACTGCCGCCTTGGCTAAGAAGAAACAAAAGGTGATGGAACGTGAAGCGACAGTGGCGTCAGCGAATGCAGCGTTCTTTGAACAGAAGAAGAAGAAGAAAGAGAAGAAGAAAACACCCGGTCCGCCGCCACAAGTGCGCGCGCAGGCATCACGTCAAATGGAGGATCCGATGATGAATCGACCGAGACGTAATAACACTGCGGGCGGTAAGAAGGATAAGGAGAAGGAGCAATTAGAATTTCAATTAAAGATTCTGCAACAGCTGCAGCAACAACAATTGCAAAAACAACAACAGGAGGACGTAGAGCTGGGCATGGAGTATATATATGAGAAGTACCCACAAAAAAAAAAAAATAATAGAAAAATTAAAATTTTACGAAAAGATTTGCGTTACTTTTTTCCCAAAAGCACCTTTTTGCAGCGCCGCCTACACGTTTTTAATGCAAAATTTTTAGAAAACTACAAAAAAAGAATTGAAAATATTTTTAAATAAATGCAAAGTATTTTTCCAGCAGCTTTGTTTCGTTTCATTTCTTGTTTTCCTTTCTCTTTTCAGTGCAACGCCAATTGCCGTACGCTTTTATTATATTACGCTTAAGTAAATATGTAGTTCTTACACACACGCTCACAGTGAATTTGGTTTGCATATTGAATTTTTTTATTTTTTTTCGCAGAACTGATTTGTTCTTTTTTTTTGTTGATTTTTATTTTTAAAAAGCTGTCAATGATTTTAATAAGAAAACTTATTTTATCACAATTTTTCAGTATTAGAGTATCCTCACAAAAATTTAAATATTTTATTTTAAAAAGCGCAGAAGAAAAATCAATAATTGTAAATGTTTTGAGCTAACATTTATGAAACTTTTTCAGAATAACCCTAAAAATGAACAAGTAAATTTAGTCACTTTACTGTATTTAAAAAAAAAAAAAATCTATTTTTTCATTAACTCAAAAATTACTTTGAACCTTGCAGAATAAAAAACAAATGGTTTTAAACGTGCCGGAAATTGATTTCATTAAAATTTCTAGCTCTTTTACCATGAACTGAACCGCGCTGCTACGACTACCGACCGCGCATAGCTATTGTACCTGCCAAGCAGGAACTACTTATTATCACGCGCATTTGTATAAGAACTCATGTGAGCACTTTCCAGCAGCTGTTTGGAATATACTATAACCGTCGTCTGTATATAAAGGGTGCTCCATTTCCAGATTCCTTACTTTATAGAAAAAAACCACAGAAAATTCAAATTTAAAGGAAATGTATATTATCATTCGAAAGCACATTGTTTGGCATTTATTTTTTTAAGATTATCTCTTCCAAAAGTTGGCCGCAGCTAGGTATCAGATGGTTAATCCACTGAGTCCAGTTCTCGATGACTCGTTCAAGCATTTCGACTGGTTACTGACAAATGCTATGCGTGATGTTTTGCTCCAAGGCCTGAAGCAAGGTGGGATTGTCCGCATAGACTTCAGACTTTACATAACTCCGCAGAAAAAAGTCTTACTGGGTGATCACACGATCTTGGTGGCACGATTACGTTCTCACCGTCACAATTTTTGAAGAAATATAGACCGATGATTCCACCGGCCAACAAACCACACCAAACCGTTCCTTTTTTTGAATAGAGTGACAGCTCTTTAATCTCTTCAAGTTGTCCTTAGTTTGAAATGCGATAATTTTGCTTCCTACATACCCATAGAGCCAGATATCGCTGAGCAAAATTGCTTCGATGACGTTAAATTTTCTTGGAACTTTTCAAGAGCTCATAGAGCAAAACGAAGTTGCTTGTGAAGATCGAGCAGTTTCAGTTCTTGCATGAGCAGTATTTTGTATGCTTTCAATTTAAGATCTCAACGTAAAATGCGCCAATTCGTTCCATGCGTGAGTCCGAGTTGTTGGGTATGGCGGCGAATCGACTCTCCACGAGCTTAGTGTACATTCTCAGCTATGGCCGCTTTATTTTCTGCACTAGGTGTTGGACGTAGTATATTCGGTCAAATATTATTCAATAATGAATGCTGGATCTCAATATGGGTGGTGATGTTGCGAATAGTAGGCTCAGTAGGCCGATTATGTTGACCATAAGTTGAGCGAAGCGCGCAAAACAAATTCTTAACATTTCATGAATTTTCGAAATAATTTTGAAGGATTTATAGACGTTCTTTAGGCTGCAGTCTTTTAATGTTGCAATGCCAAAAAGTACAGAACAAGAATAACATGATAGTTAGATTCGTCTCATGCGTGTTCTGTCAAAAAAAAAAAAAAAAACACCATTGATAAAAAGTACCCCTGCTTGGTTCAGCCGTTAAAGAGCTTTGTCTTGAATGCCTGGCGAAACAACCCACAGCCTAAACCACTGATCGCAGAGACCTGAAATTTAAAGAAGGAATTCTGCGTATGAGAAAGGATTTTTCTGGAAATGGAATTTACCTGAAAAAATGTAATTTACTTGAAGAAATGCAAATTACTTTTAAGTCGTTTGATTTGCCTGAAACTGGGTACAGATTATATGTGAAAGTTTTCCATCAAAATGTATTAGAGGATACTGTTGCTAACATATTGTTTTCGAGAGGAAATTGTATTTAATCCTAGATTTTCCCTCGGACCTTGAAACTACTCCTTTCGAATTCAAGAGAGTCCAGGCTCTGCTGTTTCTCTCAAAGCCAGTTGTATGTGACAAGCTTCAAAGTAAGCTCACATCGTAGCTTGGTAATTCTAAGATCTTGCGGAAAAATCAAAAAAAAAACTACCAGGAAATACTGCATTAGGTTTGGGACGCCATTTTTGTAAAAATATATCTGAATTTCATTTTATTTTCAATTTTACTTAAGCTTGATACACCTAAATTTAATAAAAATTATTAAATTTTAAAAGTATTCCAAAGATTTCATTCAATAATATATATATACTACTATAAGTGAAATATCTTAAAAAAAAAACAACTTAAAACAATATTATATGAATTTTCGAATTCCATGCGGGTTAACTCTAATATTCAATAAATAAGATCAAGATTTCTCAAAAAATCTCTTAAATATTAGGCCAAGCAGCCAAAGCGGCTGAACAATTTATTTAGTTTATGGGCCCGATACTGTAAACGAACGTGTAGCACAAAAGTGGTTTGCTATGTTCCGTTAAGATAATTTCGATATCAAAGATGCACCACGTTTTGCTGTGTGTTTGGTGAGATTGGCAAGGAATCATCTACCACGAGCTGATCTTTGATCTTTGATCAAGAGGGCCTCTCGTTGTGATTTGATTTGTATTCCATCAAGACAACGCCAGGCCAGACATGTCTTTGGTGATGCGCCAGAAGCTCCAGGAGCTCGGATGGGAGGTCCTAATGTACCCACCGTATAGTCCGGACCTGGCACCAAGTGATTACCATCTTTTCCTGTCCATTGCGAACGCGCCTGCGAAAATTGGCTCTCTTTGGTATTTTGCCAATAGGGACGTAGCCCTCTGCGAGAGGAGTATATTGAAGTCGGCATCTCGTTGAAAACAATCGGACAAATGTACACAAAGTTATCATATTTGGATAAAATCAATAAAAGCAAGCCGCACGAACTTTTTACTTGACCTAATATTTGATTCTAGTCCACAGATTGCTCAGAGAAAGAAGAGGGTGTTTTATATGAGAGAAAGGTGTATTTATGGACTTACAGCTGTTTACAACTAATTAGAAACGATGCTTATTGCAAATTGAATGACCTTTTTGTCCATTAAAGCACGCATTATCTCAATTTGGTTTCTAATTTTATTTAAAAATATACAAAACTTAAAATTGTTTACTTAGCAATTTATTAAAAATTAATTTTTATATATTGTTTTTTTTTTTTTTACAAAAACCAGTGAAATTCAAGAATTAAGTGCGACTCCAAATTAGAAGCGAAAATATTATGCCAAACTTGAAGTTAGTACTTGGTTGCATAATCCTTCTGCTTCAACACTGCCTCACACCGATTTCTTGTTGATGTTATAAGATTTCGACAGCGCGTCTCTGATATTGCTCGCCATGCGGTTCTTATTTCCTCAAAAGGATATCCACTTTTAGGATATTTTTGATACTAACGGCTCTTTTAAAGTCACTCCAGAGGGTTCAAGTCTGGACTGGATGTTGGCCATTCTAAAACATTCATGGAGTTTTTGTCAAACCACTTTTTCGTCAACGCTGCGATGTGATTTGAGTCGTTATCTCTTTGAAATTTCCATGTAATAGGCAAATTCTTCTCAGTTCAAGGCAACAGGTCATTTTCTGGTATATCGAGGAATTCACCTTATTTGAAATTCCATTTATCTTATAGAGTGGATCAACAAAATCATACCCACACCATAATTGATTGATCCACCACTATGGTTCGCTAAGCAAGAAGTATAAATAGAAATAAATTCCTGGTTAATGCGCCGTCAAAAATACCACCAAGCATTAGGAGTAATGCGACTATTTTTCGTTTCAAAGCTCCAAATGACATACTTGGAGTGGTTAAGGTTTAGGGTCCATGAGAATTCCAGATTCGACCAAACGCCATGCAAAATCACCTCTTCGATACTTGAACTGTGAATTTATCTTGAATTTCACGCTGAATGTCAGCGGAAGTTTTTTTGGGTCTCTTCGCGAGATCATTGCTATCCTGTGGTATATTCCTGCTGCTTTATGTCGTCCTAGTAGATTTTCCCGAGGATTCTTGAAGCGTCATTCCTCTCATCTGGAAGTTGTAGAGAAACTTAAATTCCCATTGAAATACCAAAGTTCCTAGATCGCTTTTCGTATTTGTTTCTTTCTGCAAATTAAAGCAAAATTTGCCTAACTTTATTTTCGAAGAAATCGTAAGCCCTACGATGAGGGATGTACGGCTAAAGTTTTCTGTCGAACTGAAACACTGAATGTAAACCATAAGGCTGTAGTTTCCTGCAGTAGTTTCCTGCCTAAGGTTAATATCAAGTATTTCAGTTTGGAATACAATCACCGAGGAGAAAAAGTATATTTAACTTCATCTTAGGTTAGGTCAGGTCTATAGTGTTGCTCTCTCTTTACTGTGTCTCCAGTGTGTAGAACATTGCTGTTTCTTTCGCAAATTGAAATAAATCGTTTTATCCCCTTTGCTATTGCCGATTGAAGGTGCTGCAGGCTTTTTAGGAAAAGTAAGCAACACAGCCTTTGTCTGCCGAATGCTGCACACTCACATATAACATGCTCTACCCATTCAATACATTTACTCCATATGTTGTTCTCAATCAGATCTATATTAAAAGCAAGCGACGCCAGAAGTCAGTGTCTCGTTAATAGTCCTACCATCAGCCTGGAATCCGGCCTCTCTATCGCTAGTAAAACCTTTCTAGGTTTAGCAAGTTGAACTTGTTTTATGGAGAACTTTTTAATGGATATCCCTTACGGCATGCCTTCTATGTGTATTACACATATGTGGGATCATCTAGGATCAGCCAACTCAACCTTAACATTTTTCCGTTCTTCACGTTTTTCATAATTT